TACTGATTAAGATACTTAACTTTATTTATTTTTTAGAGAGATATTTTTTGCTATAGTACATGCGCTCATCAGAGAGACCGAAAAAAACAGAGAGACAAAAAGTGAGAAATCACCCCCCAGGGGCGACGGCCACACCTCAATCCCTGCTCCTCCATTCTCTTCTCGGGATTTTGGGCATGCACACACACACAAACACACACACACACACACACACACACACACACACATGCTTGTTGTGAATTTTAAGGCACCAGGTCTGGGATTTGAACTGTGGTCAGCTACATGGGAGTTCAGCAACATAAAAATTACACCATCTGCTGATCCTGATATTTAATTTTTTTTTAACCCTCAGCATTTTCATAAAAATGGACAAATAGTATTTACCTGGAAGAGTTAAATGAGATCATGTGTTTAATGTGCTTAACACAATGTGTATCAGATGATAGAGAAGCTTAACATATTATGATTATTGTTATTGTTGTTTTATCATAAGGTGAATGAGATTAAACAAAACAGTAAAGCTAAACGAGGAAGAAATGTTTTACACTCAAAACTGTTATAGATGCTACCATAGTATATTTAGGAAATTTTTTACTTATTAAAAACATTTAAAACATTTATCATTCATGACAGATAAAGTTGGTAAATTCTGAGTTATAATAGAAGTAAGAAAAAAAAAAGTCATACATACCCAGCTATCTAGGGAAAGCTGAGATTACAATCATATAGGTGAATAAACCAAAACTTCCACCTTTTCAGATCTATGCTTGCTAAATTCTAATTCCTAGAGTCAGGAAAGAAAAAAGCAAACTGCAGCAGAATCTATGGATCGGTATTTTGATGAAGAGAAATGTGGAAACAAATTAAAGAAAAATGTCATCAAGCAGTAATCTTTATACTCATTACCTAAGATCAAGACTTGAAACTACTGGCAGTGGTACTTCTCTACGAAGAAGAGAACACACTGGCACCCCCACGTTTTGATTCATAGACGGGTCTTTAATTCTTTTGAAAAATGGCTTTATTGAGATAAAGTTCATATATAATATAATTCACCTATTTAAAGTGTTCAATTCATTATTTTTGGTATATTCAGAGTTGGGCTACTATAATCGAATTTACAACATATTTTCATTACTCCCAAATGAAACATTATATCTCATTAGCAGTTATCCTCCAACCTTCAGCTCCTGAGAACCACTAATCTACTTTCTGCCTCTGTAGGTTTGCCTATTCTGGACATTTTACATAAATGAAATGATCTAGGTGGTGCCCCGACCCACAGGACAGTTGAACAGGTTCCCTGGGGGAGGAAGTGGAGATGGGACAAACACATACACACACAATACAAGGTGCTGATCAAGTCGTCTTCTTCCGTCTACTTCCATTTATTGAGGAGAAATGGTGAGTTATATACAGCTGGTGGGCACCAATTGGTTGTCCGAAATGCAAATGAGATAGAACAGCATGAACCAATCATTGATGTGGGTGGATATCTCCCATTGCCTAGAAACCCAAACACTTCCAGGGAGAACAGTTGGTCACATGATTTCTGAGAAACAATTTGCTCAGTGAGGAAGTGAAGCCTAATGGTTTCCAAGATGGTGGATAGCTCAAGACGGTGGATAGCTCAAGATGGCTTCTGTATGCAGTGCTCGCCACAAGGTGGTCTTTTGTGAATGGCTTTTTTTCACTTAGCTTAATGGTATCAAGATTCTTTCACTTTGTAGCAAGTATCAGTGCTACATTCTTATTTATTGTCAAATAATTTTCATGTATGGGTGTATCACACTTTGCTTGTCATATATTCCTCAAATGGACAATCTATCAGTGTGTTGATCAGTTGATGGGCATTAGAAGTACATTTAACTTTTGAGCAATGTGTAAAACTCATTCTGCTCTGACTGAGGCTACACACCATTATAGCAATGCTTTTTAGAGACCTTGACTGAGCTGGCCTCACAGAGTACAGGCTGTTCTTTCTGAGAGCTAAGAGATTGTAGTATACCATACAGCCAGAACCGTGTAAAGGAATCTGCAAGAACTTGCAAGATACAAAAGGAGGTGATCAGGGCTGTGATACTGATAGCGTCTGTTCAAGCAGCAATGCAATGCCAAAGCGTCACCAATTGAATAGTGTGATATTTGTGGGTATAATGAATGGCATTCCTTCCTTGAGGTTGGCAAAAAAACCCAAAATAATCCATGGCATCCCTGAAGCCAAAATGTTTGTGAACCATTGTGTTGAGGGCTTAATGCTATCTATTTGGGGCTGTCCATCACAGGTTCTGTCTTCTTGTAAAATGAACGCAACCATCAGGCTCCAGGTCTTCACCTCATTTCTTCCTTAGCTAGTTCATAATTTCATTGTCAGAACTGACAAAACATTCAATCCCTGATTTCTCAGGCCAAGTATATTTGTGAATATAATAATAAACTAATTTGCACTGCTGGAACCCTCTTCCTTAGCTATGTTCTGGAGTAAGTATGATTATACCAAAGACAGTTTCAAGTTACATATATCCACATCAGTAGAACTAAAGGCATATACCCAGTATGGTTTATGAGGAATTCCAGAGAAGAAACGAAGGAAGAAATCAATAATTTGCTTGGCATCAGTACAATAGGAAAAGATATGTGACTTTTATATCAAATATATTTTATAACCTAACTTGGTGAAGTTATTTAACCTCTTCATGCCTCAAGCTAAAAAAAATAATAGGGACAGCAGATGGCATAGTGGTTGAGGCACTGAACTCCCACATGGCTAACCCTGGTTTGAGTCCTTATCCTGGAGGCTTGAAATACTCTGGGTACACGTGTATGCATGCCCAAAATCCTGAGAGGAGAATGGAAGAGAGGGTACTGTGGCAAGGCCATTCCCCCTGGAGGGAGTGATTTTTCACTTTCTCTCTCTCCAGTGAGTGACCATGCCCTATAGCAAAAATTTCTCTCTAGAAAAGAGGGGGGAGGTAATAACATATCATAGATTCATTCTGTGAATTAAATATGCACAAAATTCATGAATAGAAGCGCAATCTCTTTGATAACCAAAGAAATGAAAATAAAGGTCATGATAAACTACACTATTATTTTGTACTTGATTGGCAAAAAATTGATAATATTGACATTTAGATGTTTCTCACACATTATTGGGGAATGGGTGTATTTTTTACAAACATTTTGAAAAATAATTGTGTATTTGCTTTTAAAATGTAATATTTGCATAATAAAAGGCCTAGTAATTCTACTCTAACTAGACATCTAAGAGAAACTTGAGTACACATACACTGGGGACAATGATCATAGTGACACTGTTCATAAGAAAATCTGAAAACAATTGACAGGAACTAGATAAATAGGTGAATAGCTGCACAATGGAATATACAATAGTACAGCAGTAGTGTTGAAAAATGCATGGCAAATCCCAGGAGATTATTTATTCTGTAGTACTCTCCATAAAGTTAAAAAATAAGTATAATTAATAGCATAGTCTGAATACATATGTAATAAAACTAAAAAAGAAAAGAGAGAATGATCAACAATCTAGGATCAATTCACGATAGTGATTACTATCCCAGAGAAGAGTCTGTGGGTTGGAATAATGGAGGGGCACATAGGCAGCTGTAATTAATCGACAATGTCTTTGGATTAGAAGTGAGGTAAAAGGAGTTCACTGTATATATATACACACACACATACATACATAGATAT